CACTAAAATGAAATGAGTCGCACCGAATTAACCAGACCACACTACTCATTTATCAAATACCATTGATTACACTGAAAATAACTAGCTCGCAAGTATACTCCTCTTACTCTTCAGTTTGTTCCCCAATAAATGCAGAATATAGAAATAAACACACCCAAATATAAAACGTATCACCTAACACCAAAGACGACGACACCTTAATCATAACACAGGCAACTCGTATACTTCGTATCATAACAGAATTCGCAATTGATTCATCAAAAAAAATAGCAAACACGACCCAAACCATCATACTGTAAATCAACGAAACACATGACCAATCAAATCTCATCATCCAAGTCTCTGAAGAATCCTGGATCAATTTTAAACTACAAACTTGCGTCAAAGTGATCCAGTCAAGTCCCACTTGCAAATGATACTTGACTCGAGCTCCAAATGCAGACTGACAATTTCTTAATGGTTGACATTTTATTTAACAATAACAAACAAAACAAAATATTCCAAAGAATTCTTGCGAGGAAACCGCATTGCAGTCAGTCACCCTGAACTGTAATAACTTGAAGGATAAGGAACTCTTCTCACGTAATATTCTCTACATGTTCTAGTCAATTCTCAGAATTCTGCATTCTCGCATGATATGAACGACAAAGAGAAGCACCATACTAAGTTGGAAATGTTCAAAAAAATATAGCAATTCATAAATCAAGGTAACTCTATGTAAATACTACTGTAAATGAACAAAAAGCTTCTTTGTTGGCAAAAAATATTTCATTACTTGAGTTGCTAATAGCATCCAAAGCAAGCTTTTCTACTAAATGAAATAGTAGATTGGATTGCAACCTCAGTCTTTTTTATGACGGTCACGAATTGTAATCTTTACCATAATATTTACGAAATTCTTAGTAACATGAAACACTTATGTCGTCAAAAGTTCCCAGTATAAATCAGCAATTATCGAGTAATTTCATGCCAGTATATCATTTTTCCACACACCCTAAAATAATTTAAATTATTTGAATTTTACAACATTCAACAATAAAAACGGAAAAATAAATGCCTTTTTGTCTATTTTCATTTTTTCTAACTGAAGAGCGATTTGTTGAGCACGAAAAGTTAATCGTTTTGTATTTTCCATAACTTGTTCATGAACAGACGTGGTCTTGGCACCCATTACAACCTTCAAACAGGAATTAAAGAACATTAAAAATTATTTACAAATCTAGCACTTCATTTGGCTGACTCAGGCATTGCTATTTTAAGATATACCTGTCCAAGTTTAGAGTCAATTTTGGCCCCTTCAATACGATATGTCCTAATCAAATCAACAATCCATCTTTCTGCTTCAACCTGAAAATCAAAAGATAATTTAGAACTAAACACACTGATATGGTTCATTAGAAACTGATCAAGTAAATAATAATTCCCTTTTCTAAAAGCACTACATCCAAAATTTCGAAACAGAAAATAAAACTACAATATTGCACTCTCATGGCATACCTGTTGCATATTGAGACGTTCTGCAAGCATATGAATAGAAATACACTGGTGAATTCTGCAGAACATTTCAAATATCAACAACCTAGCACTATCACGAAAATCGTCCAAACACGCTGTTAGGAAAAAATCATTTGATAAAACCTGAAATACTAATTAAACTGTATGCTAATAATTAAGTACTTCAACAAGTCTTTGAAGTCCGATAAAAAAATAAACTCAAGTACTAACGTCTTCACACTGCCTCAACTTTTTTTGTGCTTCATCGAAATCGTATTTGATGTAAAGACAAGTCAAAAAATCAGTCACTGGATCTTCATAATTATGTCGTTCCTGGAACACAAATCATGAAGCAGTAAAAAACTAGAATTATTGTATGTTCCATTAACATTCTCTTAAAATTAGATAAAGGATATCAGGTAACAAGACAAAAATCCATTACATAAAAATACTGATTACAGCTGAAAATAATTGTTTATTAATATCTTTTATACAAAATAAGACTAGACTTACAATATCGATAACTCTGATCAAGTCTTTCAAGCTGTTCTTCTGCTTTGATTTACTTGTAACGACTGCCACAGCCAAATAACGTAAAAGATGGGGACAAGCAACCTAAGGGAACGTCGTGAAATCATCGGTTAAATGATGATAAAATTAGGGAGAGTTGCTGATGAAGATGTAGAGAAAAATGGAACAAGCGACATGATATAATTATTACATTATAGAATTATGAAATATGGAGTTAAAAAAATAGAAATTGTAAATAAATAGATTAATACTAGAAAAATTAAAGGTTCCTAACGAATGCCAGCTCTGAAGAAATGCCTAAAAACATTACCTGTATTGTGTTTAAATACGGCTGCTGATTGAGATACATTTCAACGATCTCATCTCGCCCCTTGGGATAATTGAAATAAACAAATAATGCCCAATGCATCAACCATGCACGCTGTTGCACAGATTCTAATTCAGTGTCAAAGGGGTTAAAATCAATATAAGTTCGCAACTTAGTCAAATCATCCTTCGCATGTGTCCATTCCTGAGAACTTTCATTTCCGGACAATTTTTCCAACTCACTTGAATTCAATAAAACAAATAAAACTTTGAAAGAATATCTTTAATAAACACAAAAACTTTTTCCCTCGAACCTGGTGTCACAACAGTAATTTAGGAGTGTTAATGCTTAAGCCTATATATCTTTTAAAGAAAGCTCACATAACTTCGATATTTTTCGTAACTCTGTATAAGTTCTATTATTTCAAACTTTGACTGATGTTAAACCAGCACTAAAAATGTCTTGTTTTCAATACGAGCAATGGTAAAAACTTCAAATACATAACGGTATCACATAATTTTCCAAACCCACCTGTAACAATATTTCGGATGCGAGTTTACCATATAATGCACTCAAATAGTTGGGATTTTGCTGAGGAACAATATTGCGATAATAATCAAGACACAATGAAGCAGCTGAATAATTACCACATTCGTATTGAAATTTAGCATATCGAAACAATGAATCCAGCATTTCTTCCGTAAACTACAGACAACAATTATATACAACACCATCGATTCAAAACCAAAAATGTAATACTAATGAATGATATTATACACTACATTTTTGAGGAACTACAAGGCTACCGTTTAATGTGAGCACTACGTGGCAATAAGAAAACCAAGCATTACATTAAAAACATATCTTTACAGGAACTTTATGAAATATGGTAAAATTACCCCATGATTGGCGATAACATATTCAAGAATACGATTATTCGTCAATTCACGGCTATCCATCATCGCTTTCACAGGTTCTGATTCCAAAATTTCCACGACCGGATCCACCTTGACTTTAAGTTTTTCACGCTGAAAGTTATTCGGGTCTTGTACACATAACTGATTTCAAATTAAACTAGGTGAACAATGTAAAACTTGTGTATGGGAATTATATTAGACGTAACACATATGCAAGATCTACACGTTACAACATTTCATGATGCTGAGAAAAACAAATTCTATTCATTACTAACCTGGCTGAGAATTTCAGCTTTCCGCAGTTCTAGTTCCTTTGGTACTTCTCCATCTGGGTATGTTTCAATAACGCTATCAATCATATTTGTTTTTAACAACACCCGGCGATGTACTTGGATTAATGAGTCATGATTATAAATCTGAAGAACAAGTGAAATTCATAGAAATAACTGTTTAATCATGTTAAAATGAACAAGTAATTTTTAGAAAAAAGTAGATTGAAAATTTCTGCGGTGAAAATTATTTATGACAATGCCTACAGAGGTTTACTACGAAAATAATTTTAAGCTGGAAAAAAACTTACGTCCCGAGGTTCGATAAACTCTAGCAAAGGTATAACCAAATGTAGATCGAAAAATGAAACCATCTTCTTGGTAAGGTCATAGTCAGCCATTGTACGATGCTTTTAAAGTGCTGCAATAACTTTCACAGTATGGAACTAGGAACTGCCATCAACAGAATTTGCAGCATCAAACTAACTTCGATTGTTTTGCTTTGTAGACGTAAGAAATCACTGACAAACCTCACAAGTAAACTGGCATACAGAGTTTGTCGTATCGCGCTGACCCTATTTTAATTTAACGCTGCCATAAAATTTCCTCTAGAACAGTGTGCAAAATTTACGTCTCAAATTGACGCTTCATGTGTTTACTCCCAATATTATGTATGGTGCTAGGTTAAAAAGTTTAAGTTGAAAGAGTGGGATTTAAAATTTTATTTGAGTGCCAGCAAGGTGTCTGAATTATAGCGAACTTTGTATTCCATTAAATATTGAATTTTTCCAACTTGAAAGCTTTTTGAAGAAAACATTTGTAGATGATTACGGACTTTTTTAAAGAAGACATCCTACACAGTAGTACATGTTTCTACCGATACTTACCACACTTTGTAGAAAGTATTCCGTTTATCAGGTAATTGCATCTCAGTCTTCTCAATCCATGGTCAAAAAATGTCAGATGACAAACGCAGAAAGTTTGCATTGCGACTAACACCCTGACTGCGATACCATCAATATGACTACCCATTCACGATCATTCTTTCATTTTCTTCTTAAAACTATGAAGTCTCTCTCAATTTACTACGTTTGTTCAATATCGCAATCAACATTAGCTAGTATCAACAATGAGGATTATATCATATGATTGTGATATACTGCTCACGATATTTTGTAGATGTTACATGTTATCCTCCCAAACGACCTCAAATTTTATTGTGAAACGCACAAATGAATAAAGTTATTTGCAATCATCTCATCAACTTGTCATCGTTGAGAACAGTTGTCAACAAGTATTTATGAAAGTGTCATGTTAAAGATGAAAGCAAGATGACAAATATAAGTGAGACTTATGTGCTATATTCTGCAAGATCATATACAGTGCAACAAGCAATACTGAATCCAAGGAGATTTCTTTCAATGCTACATTTCCTTCTTTTTGGTCTTCAAACATTAAGGACTTTTGCTTTTACTCAAACTGACAAAATCCTCTTCTTTTTCTTTTTATATCGTGAAAAAGCAGCATCAGTTAAGAGTAATCTTTTTAAACTAGTCGATTGCAGTACTTTATAGCGCACAATTAATGGAATTTACCTCTACCCAAGAGCGCCAATTTTTCATTAAAGAATCAAAAAGCTTGACATTGATAATGAGAATGACTGTGAAACAAAAATATGGAGTCAAGAAGGCAAGAGAACTAACATTATGTGGTAATAATATGTCAGCTAGGATAAAGTTGTATACTAGTGAACTACAATACATTTCATAGCAACACATATGCCAGAGCGCTGTCGAAATTATCAGATCGAAAGAAAGATTACTACAGCAAAATATAAAAGCGTAAAGCTAACACTTTTCTATATTCTTGAATCTTAAGTATCTCGAGTCCATTAATTTCTTTACTCATTAGTCTATTACAAGAAAAATTCAGTTTTATTATTATCGCTTTTCTAATATGATGTGAATATATAGTCGTCGACGCGAAACTTTATGTTTATTATACAGTGACTGCCATAGTATTTTGAATTCAAAATTTACAGGCATACAGACATTCTAATTTTCAGCATACATGAAAATTGTGCATTAAAAAACCATGACATTATGACGAAGTATCCACTTTTACCTGATTAATCGTTTGAAGAAATTCCTCCGTCTTGCGTATTTGCAGGTATTTGCAAGCTATATGAGATCTTTTGACGATATAGCTGAGAGCGTTTTTGTGACGTTAAATTTGGTGTATCTGGTCTTTCCGCCCAATACAATATTATTTCCTGCAAAAGGATATTTATTAAATAGAGTTTTACCGCTATTTTCTGCAAATTACTTAATAAATGCTTTATTAATCATCTTAAAAAAAACAAATATCAGTAATACAATCGTTCATATAAACAAAACTAGCAAAATTACTGCTTTATGTGAAAAACCAAAAGTTACTGAAAAAATACTGTAAAGTATCCAATCTCATTTCAAATACAAAACTTTATCTTGACTAGTATCATCTTTAAAAGTACTAGTGATGAACAGGTATATGTAAATTACAAACTTCCCGACAACGTATTGATGTACTGATATATGCAGTTGCAAAATGAACCAATAACAGCAGTGGATATTGAAGGATTAAAGTCAATCAATAAAAAAAGAACAAACCTGATCACTTGGACAACTTTTCCTAAATGATTCCATACTGTAGCCACGCTTGATATATTGCCATAAATTATGTAAATCAGCAGGTATTTCGTAATCTTTAAGCGCACCTAAAGCAATACGAATGGTATGTAATTTCGGTAAGATGTAACAATCCAAATGAGTCAGATGATCAGCTGCTAAGAATCGTGTGTCTATATCTGCAAGATATCTATCTAATCGTATTAACTCCATTTCCAGGGCCTGAAATAGAACCAGTTCTTGTCATTCATTGAAAGATACACGCTTCTTTTTCTATTTGGAAGCTGCTAGAACTTTGAGAACTCAGTTCAGTCTCTGAATGAAAATGAAACGCTTTTATACATACTTTTCCAATGCTATCATGATCTGCAAAGCAAATAATAAATTGAGAGGGCAAATGCAGTCAATTTTAATGTACTTTTGGATCTGCATTAACTTCTTTAATGAAAAATGCAAAGGCACGGAAAAGATTTGCAGTAGCATTTGAAGCATCAGGAGAATCGCATTTCAATGATGGTACTGGAAATCTGCGGTCAATATAATCAATGATTTCATCTTGGTGTGATAAAATTAAATCATTGGAATGTTGCAGTGCTGGAGCATGTCTTAAGCCAGCCTGAAAATTATTCTTTTTAAAAAACCGTTCGAATAAAGTTTTAAAAACAAACAAACAAAGCTTCGCTATGGGATTTTTCATTCAAAACAAGACAAATTATTCAGCCTAGAAAGTGACTTCTCGACAGAACAAGTTTTATAAATTTTACAACCAAGAAGTCACCACAAATTGATTAGAAAACTTTTCTACATCATTTCAAGTGAATGTGCGCTAATCGACAGCAAAAAAAGGACGTAGAACAAGAAACGTTGTCAGTAAAAAGAAAGTTTTGGTAAGTCTCCAGCGGCCTTGTATAGAGAGCAATTACTTTTACTTCTCAAATATTAATCACATTTCAAGTAAAAAATATTGTTTCACAGTAATTACTGGTAGGAAAAAATACTGACAAAATCAAAAAATATGCTTTTAATGCCAATCAGTAACTGCTGAAACGACGTCTGATAGCAATATCTATAAAGTAATCATAAAAGTAATGTGCGGAAATCCTACAATTCTTTAAATTATGATATACTGAAATAAGAACAAACAAAAAATGTACCTCACGAAATTCTGATGGGGGTTTCGCTTCATTGACTGTTTTTACACTGAACCTAAAAGCAGTTTTACAAATTTTCTATCACAGTTAAAATGTAATTTCATGGAGTACATTTGACGAGAAAAGTCACGATAAAAATTATGCTATTACTGATAATGCAGCAACGATGAGGTCGATGCAAAGTTTCCGAGTCAGAATATAGTGAAATGCATTTGCATTCGAAGTAATAAGTAGAAGTGATAATAATAAACTAACGTAACTTAAGTTAGTTATGAAATATTAGTACAGTCAGTATTATCAAACAGGAACAGGGAACAGAAGTAGGCAAACTGCACTTGAATTTTCTAAAGAATTTGCAGTTAAACGACAGATAACTTACACAAGACCAGATTCCGGGTGTAGACTTTTCTCTATAAGTATCATGAAAATTTGATGGCATAACGGATCACCTCCCAAACGAATGCCATCTGATCCAGCTTTCACCCATAGCACAACAGGCTCCATACTATCAAACCGATCTTGAAGCTAATTTTCTTATAATTACAAAAAGCGTTCATGAGCACAAAAGTAATGCGCAAAAGGACGTTCATATTCGAAACACACAGGAAATTGCACTGAACCGACCCCTACAACTTACCAGAATCAATAAAAATAAAGTATAACATATACGTTGCTTAACGTCATCACTTTTATAAATACTTATGTAAAAATGATGCAAAATGCTACGCAATATCAAGTAAGAAAGATAAAAATTAGTCTTGGAAGAGAGGCAGCGTTAAATGGAGGTACATATATATAAACCTCCATTTGAATTAAGACAACAACACCAACAGAAGTTGGCAATATGAAATTGCGGAGATGAGTAAGAATGTAAGTGATTATAAGTTATTCAGTCAGATATACAAACGTACGAGTGGATATGCAGCGAAAAAGAAAATGACTGGAGTAAAATTAATGTTCACACTTGAAATCACTGTCATTCTTTCTGTAATCAAAGCACCGCTATTAACATTATTATTCTTATTCTCACTACTATTTCTACTACTATCCTTGTAGTCATATCTACTGCTATTATTATTACTATTATTATCATTATTATTATTATTATTATTATTGTTATTATTATTACTACTGTTATTATTCTAGCCGTTATCATTGCTAAAGTCGGCAATTAAAACCTTCACCATCATTATCCTTATTACTATTGATAGCAGAAGAAATAGCAATAGTAATAGTTAGCAACAAGCGAACACTTCTTACTGCACGTCTTTCCCTCCTTCCCTGTCGCTCTATCACTTGCAGTAAATAATTTTTGATCGAGAATGTTGCATAAGTGCGAGCGAAGGATAACAGAACAAACGAAATGCAAAGGAAGACGGAGCAGTAGATATAATACCAGTACAAAGTAAAGTAGAAATTATATTTCTGCATTTTTGGGGTCTAATTTTTGAATTCAACTAGTAAGCTGAATACTACTAAGGCTATTGTTATTGCTACTATAATAGTAATACTTGCGCTAGATTTCTGATTAAACGATGTTTACGCTACGTCATCTTCATTTCGTTTCTGTGCAAACGGCAAACAACGGCACCTTCTCGATTCTTATCTACGGATTTATTGATGAACAAATAGTTACAACGATAAACAGATAGATAGATAGATTGATTGATTAATTGATCGGTGAACTGATTGATAGGGCGATAAAACGAAAGAAAGACACTAGCAACGTTGGCCAAATCTCATACATTCATTGCTTGTTCTTGTGATACAAAAATGATTGAGTAAATAAGTACTCGAGTATTCCTCGCATTCCAAATTCATACCTAGACTGACTAATTAAGTGAGTGAAAAATAGTGCATTGCAGGTGCTCTTCCATTCATAAATCAAACTCAAATTCTTATCTGAGATGAGAAGGTTTTTTGATAGCATCATTATTAGGACCACGACAAATTAAAATCACTGGCGTATTTGTGTGCCAGTCTTTGCCACTCCCCACTGCTTAACTTGATCCTGCCCAAGCTAAGAAAGAAGTGAAAGATCTACGAGGTTCAATTTCTAGCTGTGTATGTAGACATTCATGATATGGATAAATGAACAAATAGAAATCAACATCACACGGAGGTTATTCATCTTCTCTTCATTATTGATTCTACTGGCACTGAATTGTATTCTGGCATTCTCATTACACTCGCACCGCGCTCAGTTCTGCTGTGCTCATCTC